TTCTGTTTCTTTGTTGGTTAAGCTTAATCTTGCAAAATTTATTTATTTCAGTTAGCTATGAAATGTGAGGTTAGGGTATACTATGGGGTGGTAATATTTGCCCCATCACTTCTGACAGACTTTACACTAGTATTTAATATAATTCACTTGTTAATTTTCCAGGTTTATTTGACCAAGTATAATTCTAATAATGAATTAGTTAAACTGAATTAAAAATCAAACAAGTCTCTCAAAATAGGTTGCACTCTAGTGAACTTACTTATTAGCTACCAAACAACTAAGTATTCAAGAGGAATCTGCAGTCAGAGACTAATGATTTTTGCTATAAATAAACATTTAGTAGAATCCAAACATCTATTTTCAATTGTTGTAGGCAGTTAGATTTAAGATAAAATGCTATGAATATTATCACTAAAATTTAGTTTAAGTAATTTTCTTGAAGATAACATAAAAATGGTATATTTGACCTTTCATTGATCAAAGTTTCTTCTAATTTTAAGGGGATGTTGATGGTGAAAATCTTCTTTGAAATTTGGTTTCAGATACTGACCATAAAGGTTTAATAACATTTAAATCTGGTGACTGTGGTGGCCAAGTGGTGCAAAAAACACACACAAGAGTTTGGTCAATCCTTAACAACTTAATTGGTATTAATTGAAACAAACCAGCTCCATTTGGATATAAAGTGTTTCTCATAAGGTGAACCTGGTCTGCACTAAGATTCAAATAATCATTTGCTGCCATTTTACCTTTCAGTGACCTAAATTATTCCACAGTGATGTAGTGTTAAACTTAGAAGTGGAAGATCACCAAAATTTCCCTACGCTCCCTCTCTGACAGAACAGCTAATTATCAAACTGGTTATTTAATATGGCTACTGTGTTTGCTAATTAATTAGATATTTAGAAAATGATTGCTTTGATGTATATGATAGTAAAGCAGCAGTATATGAAGGTCAGACCAGTTTAAGTTAATAATTTCTAAAAATATTTCACATCAGAGACATAATTATAATCCTATTGATCCAAATTTTAAATGTATAAGAGTAACAAGGAGAATAATCTGCATTTTAGGTATGGGAGTGGTATTCCCTTTTCAAATGAAGTGAGGAGTTAGCCTCTGTTGTGAACCCACAAGACTACACCACTGCTATTCCACAAAAAGCTGCCCATTTCACTATAGTGCCTCAACCATGCATAACTGATGGCAAGAAACATTCAGGATTGATTGTAAGGTTATTTTGGTTTCAATTTGATGGGAAAAGTGTAAAAAATAATTTATCTGATCAAACCACATTCTTCTATTGATCTTCACTTCAATTTTTATGTTCCTGACAGGATTTTACTGGGCTTCTGTACTTTTTGTTGTTAATAGGTTTATGAGTGGTAGACTTTTAATGATAACCCATCTTATGCAGTTCCACTTGAGTTCCTTTGACAGAGATTGGTTGTTTGGGTATATATTTAGATCTGCACACACTTTTGACACTGGCATCTTTTGTTTTTGTCTTACTATTTGTGTTAATGATCATTTGTTACAATCTGTCATCTGACGTTTTTTGATCACTGTTTTGATTTTATTCTTCAATACCCATGCCAACATTACTTTTAGTACAGTGCCATGGGATATATTCATTATTTTAAGGTTTTTTTTGTGTCACTGATAATCTAGCTGGGTGTTCTCCTACAATCACTCCTCTTTGGAAAGTTGATACATGTTTTTGAATTGACAGTTTTAGATTAAATTACTGTATGTTATTGCATTTATGTACAGTTAAGTTACCATGTGGCTACATTTTCCCCTCTTAGACACACCAAAACTTAGGAATTAAAAAGGTTAGGTGTGATTATTTTATCAATCCTTGTAGATATTAAAGAGTAGGTCTGTTTTAGGTCATAGCAAACTTCTTTTCTCACACAAATTTAGTGATAAAAACATTAATAAAGCACAGGACATTGTTTAATAAATTTCAGAACTCAAGATGATCTCTCACCATATGTTCCATCCCTAACCACTACAAAGAAAACAAATGGATGAACATGGCCAACATGGGTACATTTTGTACTCAGTTTTCATTTTTATTTATCAAGAAACTTTTGTAGAGGGTAAGTGAACTGTAATTCTCATAAGAGATTGTAAGTTTCTTCAGTGATGAAACGGAGTGAACAATTACTGTATGCCATGAATCAACATTAAATGTAGGTGCATAATGTACCTGTGTTGGTAATCAAAGAAATACATAAGTCTGAAACTCTTTACAATCTATAATTAGTAATAGTTTTAGCAAGCTTTCAATCATCTATGTTTCCCAGTATCCAAAAACTTCTGAAAATCAACTGTTTATCCATCAGCATCTGTTAATGTTCTATATATATATATATATATATAAATACTTACCAGGATTTGAAAAACTGATGTAAGTTACTATGAAGAGTTTCTTCAAAGTTGCGAGGGTGTGGAGCATTCATAATGATCAACTGTTCAACTATTTCTGGGTAATGTGCAGCCAAGGACCAAGCCACGCATCCACCCCAATCATGACCTACAATTACACCACTTTTTCTTCCTACATGTAGTGATAAAAAAAGGGCATAATCAAATAAGAACTTTATTAGTAATTCCTTAGAGGTTGGTCTGCAACCTGAGAAACTCCAAGTAATAAATATTATTGATAGGTAAAATTTTAAACTTGTGAGATCAGTGAAGATGAAATAATCTATATTTATTTCAATCTTGACCTTTAATTTGTATGATTAAAGATCTAAAGACACATTTTAAACAACAGATATTAGAGTAACGAAGAAGAGCAATTAACTTGTATGAGAAAATTGAAATCTGCAATAACAGAAATTTCTAGGGTACACATACAAAAGAAGTCACCTTTTGTTCAAAGCTAATGCCTATAGTATGAAAATCTCAAAAATATTAAACCTAAATGTAATATTTACCAGGTTTACAAATGAATAAAGCTGCAGAAACAAACGAGATATGATGAATGAAAAGAATAGTGCCACTGTGTTACGGCACTTATAACAAGATATTGAATTATTAAATGTTTAAGGTAAATAACAAAAGAGCAACTTTTTGTTCTTGTAACTATTTTCCTTAAGCTTTAATTTGTTATGGAAACTAAAACTGAAGTTTTACACTGCATTTATTTTTACTTATAATTCATAACTTTTTATCTTTCATACTATCACTTTTTGTTTTTTTTCTTTATCGCTTTAGTTTTTTCAAATGTATCTATTTTTGAACCTCTTTACAGTTAAGCTGTTGTTTAGGAACTGGGTGGTCAACATAGTTATTAGAAGCTATTGAGTAAGTTAAACTAAACTGTTGTGTGATTAGTGTTAGACAGGAGCGAGATTTAAAAAAAAAAGTAGAGGTACTCAGCTGGGTGAAATGGACCTGTTTTTGAAAAAAAATAACTAAGTGTATACATTAAAAGTGACAAATAAGTACCAATACTAGTACCACCTTAGAAAATAAGTTCCAGTACTCAGTACCAGCAGAATTTCATCCCTGGTGTTGAGACTGTGTAATTAAAAAAAGAAATTCTTGGTACAACATGTGGCTTCCATAAGGCACAGGAAGGATCAGTTAGCCTTAGAAAAATTTAATGAAGTTCAGAGGGAAAAAAACAAGACTCAAGAGAGAAGTAAAGGATATGAGAAAGAAAAGAGGAAGCCTATTAATATGCTTTTTGAAAGAAATTTAAAATTAACAGTGACATATGTGTGGTGAAAAACCTATGATAAGAACTTAAAATCAATTCTCCACACCAATTAAATGTAATAAAAAGGTTTCAGTATTTTCCAGATGATGAGTGCAGGATGTTGAAAATCACAGAAGGTACATGGTTCTAGTAACAGGAGATTTGCTTGTTAAGTCTAAGGTTAGTTTGTGGAGGGACAAAAACATTAAAACCAGTGTTTACTAGGTGCTATGGCTCAGGTTGTGAATAGAAGGGTGGTGTCAGCTTTTTAAAAACAACAACAACAAAAACCTTTCTGTTATACACATTGGTGCTATAAATGCCAGCTCTGATAGACTGGAGAAACTAAATGTCGAGTTAATAAATTTATAGTTTCATACTTCTGCAAAAGATTTTCTGAAATTACAGGTGTTACTGAGGAAGAAAAATTATGTGAATGATTTTTAAAATTTTGCATGTACTAGACATAAATGAAGCTTGGGGGGAAAAAAAAGGTTTCTAGTGCTATTAGAGAGGCTGAAAATGAGTAAATGCATTTAAGAATCTTGCACCCAGTTAGAAAGCCAATTCATCAGTGAATAAATGGAGATTTTTAATAAGCTCATCATAATAAAATTAAAATTGGGCTTTCGACATAATGATTACGTGGAGTACTAATGGCTACAGAAACATGCAAAAAGTCATTACAAAAATTGCTACATAAAGGGAATGAAAATATCTTTAAGTATTGCAGTATTGAATCTATTAAATTTAATTCATAAATGAACAAAAGAATGTTAGGCATTTGAACAATCAATTAGTGGGAAAATTATTATGTCTCTAAAAAAATTCTTACTTGTGAATTTATAGTCAAAGATGAAACAGAGAGTCTTTACCTTAATTTTGTACAGTGAAAAAATAATTCTGCCTTGAAAAATATATAAAAAGTTCAGAAACAAAAGGCTTGTCATCCAAATGAGGTGATTTTTAATTAGTAAGTAAAAAAGGGAAAGATTCAATGAAGATACTAGTTGTTACTTTGTAAAGTTACTAGACAGTGGTAAAATCATTAATAATTTGAAAATTACTTTTAACTTTTACTTATATAGTCATGTACTAAGGTTTACAAAAACTTAGAAAGGAATTATTTGTTGAGTGAGAAGGATGTTAATGTTACTGAGACAAAGAAGAAAGTTCTGTGTAATTGCTGAATAAAGTCTAAAGCATATAGCTTAAGCCTACCAATCCTGTGTGAGTATTGGGATATACCAACAGAACTTAAGGTTTTTTTTTAAAAGTTTGATTATCTTAATGTCATGCAATTCAGCTTACCAGGTCACACCATTTGGTACTGAACTGATACAAAGATTACCAACAAAAGCTAAGTTTTTCTAAATTCCTATTATTCTAAACACTTAATTTTAATCACCACTAATTCTAGGATCTAATGAAAAGAAGTGCAAGTTTTTAAGTCTTTCTTTGTAACTTCAACCCAGTATTATTTCAGTAGCTCTACTCTCCATCCTTTCCAGCACAGTGATACCCTTTAATGATAAAGAAACCAAACTGAATAACAGTATTCTAAAATAGGTATCAGTGTATTTGTGAAACCAGTAACCTTCTTATTTTTTAGATATATCATTTCCATAAACAGCATCAAAAAGTCAGAGCTCTTTACTGCAGCAAATACTCAGATGTTTAGAGAATCACAACAAAATCCTTTTTCTCCAAAACAGTATTCCTTGACACTTGAGATAATTCAGAAATTTAAAAAAATATATGTATCCCTAACGTTAAACATTTTAACTTTACAATATTAACAGTGAATAAAATAAAAATTCTGATCAATTTCATGAATTCATATGCAGTAACTTAGTATTATCATCAACAAATATTAATAATTTAAAGCCCAAAAATGCTTCTAATTTCATTCACATAAGTCGTGAATAACAAAGGTATTAAGACAGAAGATTCTTTGGACAAGAATAAATGCTCATTTATCATCAACCTCTTCTTTTTTACTACAGAGCAATTTTTCTACAATTTTACTTTTTTTTCACCATTACAATAATAACAGTTTACTTTCTACTTATTCTTTTGTGCAAATCCATATCAAAACTTCTGAAATTCAAGATAAACAATAAATAAAAAAGTTTGACCCTATAAAAAAAAGGTATAAAAACTTAACTCTATAAAAAACAAATACCCACCTAATGCATTTAGTAGCTGTTTTATGTCATCTTCAATTTTACTCACTTGGTAAGCTCTGATTCCCTCAGGTTTTTCTGATTCTCCATAACCACGCATGTCTATAGCAACCACCCTGATTGAAAATACTGTCTTCAGAACATCAGTTACACAAAACAATCAGCAACATGTATGATCCTTTAAGTGTGCTTGTTTATACATATACAGTATATTAATAACTTTACATCCACTAGTAAAATTAAACACAAGTATTTTACAACATAGTTATTTTTTTCCCCACATTCCTCTTAATTTGTCAATTGCAGATTCAAAATCATAAACAGGAAAAATTTAGCATTTCAGAACTATATTTTGTCTCCCACAGTGGCTCAACTGATGAGTTCTGTTATTTATCAAATGGAGAAAAAAAGATCTGAAATACTACTTCCACACACCTCTGATTTTGAATCCACAATGAACAAACTAAGACGAATGTGGGAAAAAAAGTAATTGCATTTTGCATGATTTTTATAACAATTTTTAGGCCTATTGATTAATAATGTTTTGCCATTTTTCAGCATTTAAAGTATTACACTGCATATATAAATAATGTTTCACAGAATCTTTCATCACTTATTGCCCAACCCAACCGACAAATTAAGATGAATCTTGGGAAAAAACATATCTGCAGTTAATGTGATTTTATTTGTAAGCGCTTAAATTCAGAATAATGATTGCTCCAAAAGAACAAAAAGACACAGAAAAAGGAAATAAATGAATTAAAAGAATATGTAACACCAAGTGTTTAGCATCTATAATGATAAATACAATGCTATGTTCTACTGATAAAAGTTAACATTCAGATATACACTCACCACTCTGCACCACATAGAGCTATTACCTGTAATTTCCTACAAATGCCACAAGGTTTGAACAAAGCTTCCACCTGTACATGTGTCAATGTGTATTGTGCCAGCCTATGATATAATCATCAATAGATTACTGACCACCACTAATAGGAGAGTGATACATCCTTCATGCTCAGTAACTCCCATGAGTACTAGTATATAAAATTAGGTTTACTTTTGAGAAGGCAAACTAAGTGCACTGGAAGTGGGTAAGAAGGAAGAGAAGTGGTGCAGAGAGATATCTATTTAAGATACATTTTTAGGTAAGGAAAATGTTAACTTCAGAAATGCTACTAACCTCTCCAAGATAAAGAGCTAGAATTCCATGCTGAAGATGGTAGAGGAGCTGGTGCAGAAAAATTCCTTTCTGAAAACAGCATCAGAAAGGGAATGTCCATAGAGTGTGACACCACATCACTATCAGGCAGGGAATACACTCACCCAATACAGGTGGTAGAGCAAAATATATTATTATAAAGTCTTTTGCTGGGTGCTAACATGTTAATATGGGCAGAATGGCTAAATCTTCCATTATCTCATGGGTGGACAGTTGAGCACGAATGTGTATTGTGGCTATGGCTATAAGCCTGGTTGTTCCATATTGTGGTATCTTATGTATTTTTCCCATGCTCATGATCAGAGGCAAACCAAAGACCCATCTGGTTGGATCTAATCACCAGGGACAGCTTGGTTCATAACATAATGGGGTGATATGTACTACATACCACCAGGTAACAACAAAGCTATACTTCCCAAATGAGGGGTGTGTCCACCTAGTTTCATACCTGTAGGATTGCACTGACTTATGAGGAATTCTCCATGTTGAGTTCCCCAGTGGCTTGGGACTGGAGGTGCAAAGGTTCTTCTGTAATCCACTAAGAAAAAAATGGTGGAGGGAAGAATTCTCATGGAAGACAACACTAGCATGGCCCATTGTCATCAGGCACAATCACCTTAAATTAAATCCCACACTAAGTGACAGTGTAATGGGTTACTGAGATTAAAGATAATAGGCATAAATTCAACGTGAAGGCACACATGCATCTGGTGCCTTTTTCTTTTCAAATACAAAATGGCCAGAAAGACACACATATACAAAAATAGTATTTAAGCAGTCAAGCAAAAGTTAACATCGAAAGGAAGGACTGCATCAAACACACAGCAAATCGAAACCTGTGATGAACAACATTTCAATGAACGAAACAGGCCCAAACAAAAAAGAAAATTGAAGATGCTGCATAAATTAAAAGGATCTCCAGGATAAAGGCTATAATATGGGATATAAAATATGCCCTTGAATTTGAAGGTGATTGGCAAAGTAGGACCCACATTGCAGTGGGGATACATCTTCTACCAGTCTTAGTTTTTGTTCACCAGTCTCACACATTGAAGAAAACAAAATGTTAGAAGAGCAAGATGTGGGTGCTCAAGAAAATAAAAATGAAAATAAAGTTCTACATTACCTTCATTTTTGTTTTATTACTTTGGAAAGCAGTCATTGTCCCACTGAAGAGTGATATGGGTGTGGGACATTGTGGGCTTAAGTACTCATATCTTACTTTCCTAACTTGTATTTTTTTGTATGATTTTGTTTTGTTCAACATGTGAAACACACACACACACACATATAGATATATGTGTATATATATATATATATATACATATATACACACACACACATTATTGAAGCTGTCTTGCAGAAAATCCTATTTCGACAGAGGGCAATGGGTTTAAAAACTTTCTGCACTCCCAAGATTTTGGGCAAGTATTCCTTGTGAGGCAACAAGAAAGGTTCCATCAACATGAAGTGACAGACAGTAAGATCTATAAATGGCAAAGAGTAAGCAAGTGATAAATAGAAAAACAAATAACAATATTCATTTCAAGACAGCCTCTGGGTAGACTGGAGTATGGTAACTGAAAGGAGGCAAATACCAAAAGCACAAAAAACTGCCATGTGATGGAGGTAATGTGATACAAAAGTGTTAGGTGTCATCCACATTCTTGCATGTAGGTTCTTATCCAGAGGTTGACATCAGTTAGAGGAAATAGAAGTCCTAAGATGGCAAAGTTGATGGAAGGTGACATAATAAAGCATACGGGCATCTTCATCTAAAGAAGAATACCACAATCAGATGAGTTGATGAACCCACCCAGTCAGAAACAAAGGTGACAAGTCATGAGAAGAGGAAGTATCCTACAGCAAGAAAAGGCAATGGTGGTTTACATGGAAGGGGAAAGTTCAAGCAAGATAACAACATCAGCCCAAACTGGACACTAAAGACAGAGTCAGAATGATCATGTAAAGTAGAAACAGAAAAGAGAATGATGGGAGAAAACACCTGATCATCCTCCAAGACAGCCCAAGTTTTTGGGAGAAAGGAGTGGTCTGGAAACAAAATCAACTGATTCCTCTTATCAAGGATGCAGGAAACATCCAATGTATAAATGTCTGAACAACATCTCCAACAAGTGAGCAAAGGGAGAAAATATACTTTCAGGGACAGATGAACAATGGGACATGAAGCCAAAGGTTCAAATGAAAGACTACTGAGAGCCTAGGAGAGGGACTGAATGATGAGGATAACTGATGAGAAAAGCCCTGAAGAGGTCTGTCATAGTTGGAAAAAAAAAAGACTGTGTACGAGAAGAAAAAAGTTGTGGACAAAACTGCTCTTTAAATGGCAATCAAAGACACAGATAAACCTTTGTCAAAAAGCCAAGTAAAGAAAGCAGAGTAGGATGATCCTGTGGAAGGGAGTGGTGAAGGGACCAAAAGGGGTAAGCAATCCATTTGCACTGATAGAGGGCCAGTGTGGAAGCTGACAAAAATGAGACAGAAAAACAAGCTACTCTGTGTGAAGAAACCTGTCATGAAAGGTGAATGTCTGTGCCGTGTGAAGAAGGGATTGCTAAAGAGGAAATGGATGATCTCCCCTGGACAACAAATGGCATAAGAGGGGAAACCAGGACTGAGCCTTCCAAAGAGGAGAAATTAGAAAGAACCCAAGGGATGTCATGAATGAGAGACAAGACATGGGGAAGAAGGCAAAGTGAAGGATAGGCATAAAGAGACAGGTTGGATCAAGCCTGGTTCAGTTTATTGATAACCACAGCTGCAGTGTGGGACTGGAGACCAAAAAAGAAAAAAAAGTTTGGTATTAAAAGGAGTTGCAGAGGCATCAATCAGAGGATTCCCACAATGGAAACAAATTCATTGAAACACCAAAATATGAAGGGATCACTCCATTGGAGCAATTCTGTCCAAGTGAGACAAGTGATCTATCATCAGATTCAAAGCTCCTGAGACATGACAGGCCACTAATAGAATTTGATTATCATGGGCCCAAAAGAGAAATTCCAGTCATTTTTAACCTCCATCTGATCTCGTTTATCTTCAGCATCTCATGGAGGCTATATTCTCTCAACCTGCCTATGGAAGCTGTAGATCAGGTTCTCCACCCAATCAGGGTGTTTAGTCCTGTTTTTTTTTCACCCCAAAGAAGACCAGGGACTGGTGCCCTATCATTGATTTATCATTCTTGACATCCTTTCATGATGTTCCTAAGGTCAGGTAAGGAGTGCCATCCTTATGGTTGATGTGTGATACAACCATGAAATTGTCTGAATGGATCATCACTAGATATTCCAGGAACTGAGACTGAAGACATGGGCAAGCCCAATAAGCAGCCAAAGTTTCCAGGACATTGATATTAAAGGACTCCTTCTTTGGGGACCAAACCCCCCCAAAATGGTGGAGTTGTCCAGAAATGCCCCCATCTGTGTACATATGCGTGTCAGGTTGAGGAGGGGGAGGGGTAGTACCTTCAGTCATGTTGGAGCAATAAAATCAACATAACATAGAAGGACAGAAAGTCATAAGGGCTAACAAGGAATCCATTGATCACCCAGGATCTACTAAAAGGGAAGCACATATGCATGCATGTGAGAGATAAGAGACCAGAGTCCCAAAATTGTGAAAGATACTCTGGTGGACCAGAAAATGAGTGGGGATCTAGATGGACATGGAGGATTTAATCAGCCAACTGAGATGAGAGACAATTCCAAAACAGAAAGGAGGTGGTTGCTTCTGCAGAAGCTCATTGAAACAGAGCCAACAGCCCATATAATAATATAATGGAAGTGAAAACCCATGGAATGCATCTGCCGAATGGATGATTACATAACCCAACTGAAAACATTAGGGGTCATGATTAACCAAATGGGAAGGGCCCAAAACTAAAAAATCCAACTGTTGTGGACAAAATCAGAGGAAATGACAGGATGATGGATAAATTGGGATGGGAAGAAACATTGACTGTGACCATCCACAACCCAGGAGAGAACACCCATTTCACACTGAGAAAAATCATACATTTGAACTTAGGAACATGAAGAAAGATGTTCAAGGATGACAAATCAATAACAGGGCATCAACCATAATTTTCTTGGGGATAGAAAAAAAAGGAATAAAAACCCTGAGTGGGGAGGGTAGAAAGGATACAGCTGAAGATGAATGGAATCAGATTGAGGTTGAAAAATTACTAAACAAAGAGGAAGGAGAGGGAGAGTATGATAACATAGGGATAGACCATGGGAAGGCATCTCCATTACCCAATAGTCATTGGTTAAGGGAGTCCACAGGTGTACAAATGGAGAAAGCCTAGCTCCTACAGGACCAGAGCCAATAGAGTGGCACACAAGACAAGTCATCTCCATGAACCACATCACCTAGCCCTATAAAAAGGAGATAAGAAGAAGGGTCAGTAGGATCAGGAACAGGAGAGGGCATAAACCCATGAGATATGTGAGGACAGGAAATATGTTGGAGTATTTATGATCTGGTATGGCAGAAAACTAAAGGAGCCTGAGAAGACTGGTGGCAAACAGCTCCAGCCCAAGATTACTAAGAATAAGGAATACCTTCTAAGACTTTTTGTTAAAAGGAAAGAAGTGAGACCAATGTCTAGGAGATAAAGAGGAAGGGGCACACATGAAAGGAAGGAATCCCAATTAAGCAAATCCTAAAAATAAAGAAACCAGATTAACAAATTCACAGCAGTAGAAGAGATCAAGGCCAAGGTAGCAAACACGTAGAAAGAGTGTCTCCAAAGGAAGATAAAAGAAGATGAAACATATACAAAAAGCAAAGGAGATGTATAATGGTAAGACATAGGTAAGTAGACTGAGGGGTGGGAAGAGACAAAGTAAGAGAAAGGGGCACCCTAGGCAGGAATGAGAGATTCTAAGGGCTGAAGTTTGAGAAAAATAGAAGGATCTGATCATATGCTATAGAAAAAGAGTCATGAAGGTGAGGAGGTTGAGGCTGACTTGGATCAGTGCATATTTTGGGACAGAAAAACATCATCATGAATACAAAAGTCTGAGGGGGAAGAAAATCAGAAGATGAAACCTTATGAAGAAAAACAATCCAAGATTCCTCAAAGACTACTGAAGAAAGAAGGTGGAAATACCTGTTCCTCATTAGAAAGAGAAGAACCAGAAGCAAAGACAGGCAGAAGAAAGAGTTAGTCAAAGTTGTAATTACAGGTCTCAGAATCTTCATAAACAGATGAGGGACCTAGAGGAGAAATAAATGAGGCAGAAGAGTACCAAACATTTGATGTACAATGGTGGTAACATCACTGACAGATAAAGTGCTTCTGGTCACCACTGAAACAGGAGGAGAAGAATCTTGGAGTGGAATGTCAAGGCAAAATTTCAAAGAGGCACAAGAAAAAACATCTGAACACTAGCAATGCCAAGAAAAGAATTAATCTGTGTTCACGTGCTTGTGCTTATGGAAAAGGGTTATAGTGTAGTGATGATTACATCATAGGATGGTGCAACATACATTAAAATTTGTAAGGGTAGGAGCTTTGTTTAAGGCTCTTGACATGCATAGGAAATTACATTATAATGCACATGAGGTAACAACTCTTTTTGGTGTAGAGAGGTGATCAACATTACTGGAAAATAGCTTAAATATCAATACCAATCATTCTGACATTGCAAGTACCACTAGCTATAGCCTAAGATGGAATAAATGTTTTGTCATTGTTCATATTTATAGCCATAACTTTCTTTGTTCATATGGAAAATAAAGCTCACCAGTAATCTTTACAAAATTCTTTCAGCTGGTTTCTCCAGCTGAACCAAAAATCTGGAAAACCATGAATCAATACCATCAGAGGATTCTGTGAATTTCCATTTGTAACATAATGAAGTTTCACTTCCTAGAAGGGTAAAACAAAACAATGTACTTGAAATTAAAATGTTTTATTCCAAATATATCTGATCCTCACATTAAGATAAAAAAAAATTATGATGAATGTAGAAAATTCCAGGATAAATAACTACATGATGAGATTTGTTTTGTCTGTGGTACATGTAGGGTGGATCAAACTCTTAAGGAATATTTTATCTAAATGGAAAGATGGATTAAATATATAATAAAATGCTTTAAGAGGTTCAATCCTGTAGACTAAGCAATAAAATATTTTAAAAAATGAGTAGGGAACTGACAGGTACTCATAAGTAGTATTTTTGAATCTCCTATTGAGTAATGGACAGAAAATTTTGGAACTCTGTGACAAAGAATTTACAAATACTTTTATTTTATGTAAAAGTAGGATGGAAATTATAGGGTGCAATAAATGTTAGGACTTGGTTGTGTTTGAAAATTGTGGGCTTGATTGTGATTTTCTGGAGGTTAAGAATGATAAAGTACATTTCACTTATAGCACTTGTCTACTTAAGAGTGATTTAGAAACAGCTGTCAAGATTGTGCTAACATGGGGGAAAACAAAAAGTTTAGAGCAGAGAGCAAGACAGGAAATGGATTGAATTAGAGTAAAGGTTGCTTTGGGAGAGAGTAAGAATAAAGAGTGTTAGGTTTACAAGGGTGCATAGTATTAGTAGTAAGGAAGTTAAGGTTACAGAGACAGGTTCAGGTAGCAATCTCTAAGAATTTGGCTATTTCCAATAAGGAATGAGATAATCAAGAGGCTTACATAGTAAGTGACTCTCTCATCAAGTATACAACAGTTACTTGTAATGGAGAGCATAGAATGATTAAGACTAGAATTTGCTTGTCAGGTGTTAAAGTATATATAGGACAGCGTGTTAACAGCTTAGGTGCTGTTTCAAGAGAGCTCCTTCACACAAGATGCAGGAATGAATTACTTACAAGGGTACAAAGTTTAAATGAAAAATTATCATGGAAATTCTGAGGGCAACAGGTGGACTGGGTAGTTGAGTCTGTGGGATAATTTTCAGCAGGGTAGAAGTGATTTATATAACAGATATTTGGAAAAATACTTATAATAAGAGTTATTTACAAATATCAGGTTTTAGGTTATTTAACAGTGATAGAGTTTTTAAAACAAGAGGGGGTTAAGGTGATTTTCCATACATGGAATGAACTGCAATCTGTGTACATTGAAGACAAAATATGGTAGTCAAGAGACTGAATCTATATGGATTACAACCAGGGATATAAAGATTAGAATGTTTTAATTGGCAGTTGTTATAGGCTGCCTGATTAGACAGATGAGGTCACTGAGAAATTGTATAATGTGAAGAGAGAAATTATTAATAAGATTAATGTTGCAATAATTATGGGAGATTTTAATATTGGACAAATTGATTGGGATTACATGGAGTTAAACAGTAAGGGAGAGAGATTTATTGAAGTGACTCAAAATGATTTTCTAAAGCAAATCATTAGAAGGCTGACTAGGGAGGATGCCATTTTCAGATTTATTGTTAACCACTAATAAGGATATGGTTGCATGAGTTGAAGTGGGGGAAAATTTGAGAAAGAGTGGTGACTGCATAATCAATTTTCATGTTTCTACATATTGAGATGAAAATAATTAAAATTTTAGTTCATAATGTTAAGAAAGACAATTTTAAAGCCATAAGTTAAGTTTTATCATTATTGAACTAGGATAGAGTTAAAAAGCAATGTGGAACAGATTTGGAAAATTTAAGAAAATAAATTGATTTTAATTCAAGACAGGCACATTGCTAAATAGATAACAGAACCATGCAGTCTTCAAGCCACCTCATGAATGTCTTTTTTTTTTTCTAGATAGGACATTCATGTGGTGAATGATTTGGAACTTCACATACCTGTTCTGGTTGACTTCAAAATAGCAGCTACAGATTGGAATCACCCTATGTTTGCATTTGGGAGATGTAAAAATGGTAGTTTCACTGCCTCTTATTTATCTAGCAAGCACTCCAGCATAATCTTTGAAGCAGGTTGGGGCATTACAGAACTACAGGAACTTTTTGATGGGCTAATTTCTGCATTGGTGTTTACACCTCTCAATCCACGTGTCCAGAAGAGGGGCCAAAGTAGTTACGCACATTGTGGTTCTGTCCATACCAACTCTCACTCTCAGTTCATTTTAATGATCCACCGTGGGATAAACACCCCACAAAGTTAACTAGACTGTCTGTGCTTCACTTGTTAAGTTTCTTCGCTTACACGTTACTGAAGCCTCTGATGACCCCCCCCCCCCAAGACATCTTATGCTACATTCCCATTTTATAATTGATGTACCATTAGTTTTTTTTATAATTCTATGTAGCTTTATCATTAATTTTTGCTATATTTTGCATTTAATAATAACAAAGCAGTGGATAGATTTTTATGACAACCTTTACTTTAGTATTATTTTTATCAAATTCAGAGGATCTTTAAATTAAAAATTACGTATAGCACCCACAACAAAATCACTATCTTCATGTTGATAACAAGATATTAACTACATAGTACATATTCTTACCTTCAACTCTACATATACATGTTTCCCCAGAGATGGGTCTCGTAGGCATCTTGGTGGTTCTTTTCGCTTGTTGACCTTGAAAAGCTTTTTACCAGTACGAAACATTTCGTACATACTTCTGAACAGAAACAAAACGCCATAAAACACGCTTAAAGCAAACGTAATTGCTAATTCTACTTTTAGTTTGTTCATCCTGAAGGAAAGAAATACTATTAATAATGATGTTTATATACTTTCTCGAAATTAAAGTTTCCTGCTGTTATTTCTATTTAAAAATTGAAATATACTATATAGTGCTACGACCTTGACCTTTCACAGTATAATAACTAGTGGTGTAAACTAGAAGCGACATCTACTAATTCACTGTGGACTTGTTTGACGTTGCATATTTTACAATTATATACTGTGAACATTGCCAAGTTAGTGTTTGAATATATGTAGTAGTTATTTGTCCTTTTTAGACAATTTGTTGTTTTTCAGAATTTTCAGTGTATATTGGCAGAATTTAAACATTTTGACAATAAAATTAGAATAAAGAAAATTACCTTTACTCTCCAGATAATGATAAACAGCATATAATTTCAGCCAATGTTCAGCTTTATCAGGGATAGTAGTACAAGAACTATTTAGAGAATGTTATTTTCTTTTGAAAACTTTTCCGAAAATGACTTTTATTGTATTTTGAAACTTTACCTGATAATAAATTCTATTATATAAATACTTAAATTTCTGTAGAAATATATAATTTATTGCAGTTTCATTGCAGTTTCGTGTTATGAAGTAGTATTAAGTTGGGTTATATAAATGCACATCATAATGTCACAAAAGGCTCATGCGTGTAAGTTAAAGCACAATAAACGTTAAAACGATTTTTGTATAGCAAATAATATAAAAATATAACAACAGTTAATTTACAGCGTGCAGTGTAATGCGGGAGTGTGCGTGAAGTCATATTATCATAAGCTGTTTTTTCCTACTCGCCATCTGGTGACAGTGTTGCTAATTCCGCTTATAATAAATGGAATTGGGTTTGTTTAATTCTGAAGTCGCTTATTTAGGTTTTTGTTTTGTAATAACTGACTTCAGCTCTCAGTAAAATGGTTGTGGAGTAGTTTCGGTGATTGACTGGGTCAATGAATAAGGTACACATCATTACAGTTTTAGATGCATCTTATTCCCACTCCTGTTCAATCAAAAACACACCCATAATCTTGAACTTTCTGGCTCACCCATTGACACGTTCTATATTTTAATTAAACCACGCAAGTTGTCATAAAAGAACAGTTTTGAAAGTCAGAGCTGCTTATTTAAGACTTGTCTCGAAAGGCAGTGCAGCTTGTTTGGGACTTGCTTTGAACGGCAGTGCCGCTTATTTTTTTTCGCCAGTCTTTGCAACTTCACTTAGTAACTCTTAACAGTGGTGTATGCTTATTGTTCTGTCAATTGCTCAATAAGAAATATTAGAAAAAGAAAAAAGCATATTGTTACGACAGCAGAAGTCACGCGACGCTGGGAGCATGCGCGTTGGAGTTTCTAGAAGAATCGTGACTTAGTGGGCAACCTCACGAATCTCTCAACGTTTGCTAGATGCCCTCTTTTTTTTAGTATATAAGCCGGAGATAGATTGAAGAGAAATAATTGTTAATTGAGTCAAGCGAGCAGTAGGCACCGTAAGTAAAGTGTGTGAATCTCTGTGGATTATAAAATGTGTTTATAAAAGTAGTTAAGTTTAAAGTGACTGTGGAAATTAAGTGAATTACAAAGTTTGTAACGAGAAAGAATAAACTAGTTTTAATCAAGAAGGGACTTGTATCGCTGAAGTCACTCGGAAAGAAGTTTTACTGGAAATTATCAAACAAGCAGATACGTAACAATATTTTTATAACAATTCAAAAAGATAATTTCTACTTGTTTATCCAAAAGACATTATTCTGAGTCCTTTCATTTCATTTTCTTGGATAAAATCCCATATAACAACGTTCAAAAACAGCGAAACGTTAGGACTATATATTACGGATAATTTAAGTCCTAGCTTCAATTACTAGGTATATTCTTAAATTGTAGTAACGGAAAATCCGTTATTAAAACCAAAACAACTTCCATGAAGTTTAAGTTCGCATGCCTGCGTTATTGGAGTTTTCTAAAGTGAAAATATAATGTGGCCTGGCCTTGGATTGTACTGTAGTTTTACACGAAATTAAAGTTGAAAATTGGTACTTTTTTGTTAGGTTCTTCTAATCTTCTTGGAGAGTGAGGTGGAATTGTCCCTCCTGTCCCTGAGAATTAGCGTTCCTGAGGTCCAAAAAAAATGAGTGAGATTCGGCATGTGACGTATGTACCAAGAGATAAAAGGACGAAAAAGGCAATTTTGAACTGGTAGAGTAGACGGAAGGCAGCTGATTAATAGCACACTCCGCCAACTCCTAGGCTACTCAACTCGAATAGTTGGATTTAACCGTCATTTTTCTAATGCACAGATGGCAATGGGGCACGAACCATACACTCCTGGATTAACATTCTGGCAAGTTGACCACTAGAACACGCCCAGCCCAAATACATTTTTATATATCAAGACGATTATTTAGTTGC